GGCGGCCCGGCCCCGCTCCACCTCCCGCTCCCGGAGCCCCCAAAGTCCCGGTTTTTGCCCCAGGCGGGGAGGCCGTGCCGCTGCTCGGCCACGGGGAAGGCGCCCGCTCCCCGGGAAGACGGCGGCGGAGGAAGGAATGGCGGTGCAACGCGAGTGAATACAAAACCAAGTGTTTATTATTACAAAAAAAATACCTTTTTTTAAAAAAAACCCCAACATTCTCTTAACACACCGTCCTCCCGCCGCCTGCGGAAAGGCCCCCGCGCTCCGCAACCCGGGGAGCCCGGCCGCCCCAAGCCACCACAGCCCGCGCCTGGCTGCGGGCCAGCGCCGAGGAACCCCGAGCCGCGTCCTGGGCGCCTGGGGACCGTCTCCTTCCGCCCTCCTGCGCTCGCTCCCTCGAGCCTCCAAGCTCCCTCAACGCTCAGGACTGCCTCCGAGGAGGAAACGACCCACCACCAAAAGCGACCCCACCACCAAAAGCGACCCCACCACCACCAAAAAGCCCCGAGCGCTGCGAGCCAGCGTTGGGTTTAGACCGCAGCAGGGCGCAGGAGGCAGCCAGCCCTGGTACCACCAACTCCCCTCGGCGGCTTTTGTAAAAGAGGAACAGCAAGTTCTGCACTCAGTCTTTGGACAAAAAAAAAAAAAATAAAAATAAAAATTAAAGTCAGAGGAGCACCAAAAGGCATTGGTCAAGTTGTGCCTCACCACGTCGGGATTATCGGCGTTCCCAGTGCCAAACCAAGGGGTTTTGCGCTGCTGCTTCCCCATCAGCGAACACTTTCCCGTTATCTCCACTGGGAGCCACCCCCACCAAGGGTTCCGTCGTCGCCGGAGTCACTGTACAAAGCACAAAACCAAACAAAAAAACAGAAACCACCACCACAGACCCAGCTACGACGTACACCAACCCCACTACGGCTACTTCAACAGCCCGAGCCCAAGGCCGGTTCCGTTCCTCCTGCAGACCTCCGCCCGGCAGCGACAGCTACAGAGCTACAAGCCCTCACTCTCCAACTCTCGCCTGGCTACGAAGGATCTCCCGCCGGCATCCCTGCAAACGCCTTCCCCCCAGGCCCATACAGACGGGCTGAAGAGGCAGCCGCCGCGTTAAAACGCGCCCCCGCCGCGCTTCTCTAGCACCACTGAGGAGATCCCGGTGCCCCACGGCACCGCTGCGAGGCAGGAGTGGAATCTCTTTTCAGAGGGGAACGGAAACGGAGGCACTGAGGTGAGGTGGGTCTAGTAAGGCAACAGTGGTACTCGATAAAACCCAGAGCCGATTCCCAGCCCTGAGCTTTGCCCTGCGCTCCCTTTCCAGGGACCGTGATCTTCCTGACAACACTCGCACTTAAAAAGAACTTATGGTCAGTTTTGGACAAGAAGCTTCACAACGTCTCCAAGTAAAAATTTAAATTTAACAGAAAAAAAAAAAAGTGGAGAAGGGGAAAATCTGAGCAGCTGCTCCGTCACGATTGCTGGTGAACCCCAAAGAGCGAGAATGGAGAGCTACACAAACTACATCTCAGAAACTACGTATAGTTCATAGTTTCGTATAAACTACACGACTTAAAATTTCTTTTCTGCCTGACCTCACGCTGGAAATACAGGAGAAGTCAGACAGAACGGGCTAGAAGCGACTGTGAGGGTACCACAGGGCTGAGGCAGGCGCGCAGCAGCCGGGCAGCGCGCTCCGCGGGCAGGAGAACGCTGCTAGCGCCGCGCGGTCCCTCGGCAGGGTACCGAGCTCGGAGCCCTGAGAACCACGGAGCCTGTTCCTCTTCTGGTCAGAATTCATCCCGTAACCTTGGTGGGTGGTCCATGCCAAAAAACGAAGAGGGTTTTCCGTGCACATCGCGCTCTCTTTTCACAAAGGCAGTAAATGAAGAGACACAGTTCCCGATAAAGTGATCGGCCTGGCCGAGAACGTACAGATCAATCTGAGGCACTTCTGGCTGCAGGCTGACCACCTTGATCTGCAGGGAAACAAGGGAGCAAGGGAATCCAGTCATCGTTACAATCCAAACGCCTTGGCGTAATATTAGAAATGGGAACATACAACAAAAAGAGTGGATTCTGTCTTAAGGTGCCCTGTAACTCATTTATGAATAGATAAATGTCAAAACATTTTTGAAAATCACTTAGGTTTATTTCATTGAAGCCTTTTTCAAGGAGAAATTTACTACCGTGCGGGATAATGCTCTTCAACCTCTAGGAAAGGCAGAGTTTTACAGTATAATTTTTATTGCTATGAGCAAAATTTACTTTGCGATGCCAATATTTGTCCGTGAATAACGTATCGCAGTGCTGCCTGCCTGCTGGCCGTGGCAGCAGCGGGCCAGAATCCAAGGAAGGTTTTTATTAAAGCGCTCCTGCCAGACCGGGTTTCCGAACGACTTACCTTTCCTTGGAAGAACTGCTGTATTTCCGTTGTGTAGGGCTCCGAGTCAGTAGCGATATAAACAGATTTAGCTTCTGTCTTTTTCACCCAGAGCTTGAGAGCACGCTCGATCTCTCTGAGGTCCGGCAGGCACATGTCCATGGTGAGAGGGACCGCGGCGCTTCGGTCGTAGCCCACGCACTGAGGCGAAGCCATGAAGTGCGGCCCGGCCGTCCCGTCCTTTAACATATTGCAGGCATTTTTCTATGGGAAGAAGAAAAGAGAAAACATCACGTTTGAATGGCAAGTGCGGAAAACACTGCCGTGTCCCCCGCCTCTGCCGGCAGCGTTACGGCCTGTTTGAAAGAGGAATCCCAGCGGCATTGCCAACACACAGCGAGTTACTGGATGCCGGCGGGGTTCGGGCTGCCGCCCCAGACGCACAGCTCCTCTTGGGGCAGCTTCCACCCCAGAGCGACAACCACCCGTCTACAGCAACCGCACGGGCTACGGCGACCGTACCCAGTCTGAGCCGATCCTCAGATGAATTCCTACGTAGGGCCTGACCAGCAGAGAGTGAATATAGGCTTCTCCTTTCTTCACCATCTCCTCGGACCACACGATGTACTTCTGGAGGGGTCGGTGCTCCTCTAAGACTGGAAACTGGGCCGGAGCTCCGGGTAAGGCGAGTACAGGGTGCTCAGATGGTGAAAACCTACGGAAAAAAACCCAGCAGACCGAAAGATAGCATACCCTTGCACGTATCGTGTTCCACAAAGACTACCATGAAGGTCAGAATGGAAACTACGACCACCCTGAAATACACGGCATCTGTTGCTCCACATTTACCCAAGATGAATTTTAACTATTTCGCCACGCAAACAGAACATTGAAGCGAAAGTCGGGGACCGCGTTTTACCTCAGGCCTGGCAACAAGCGAATTGGTGTTATTTGACAGACAAAAGACAAGAATCTCATACGCATAGCGACGAGCTGCCAAGCAACGAGAGCTTACGTTTTCACCCCAGACTAGAGCAATTCTGTCGCCCAAACCGATATGACTGAAGTGGCTCTGAAAACATGAGGCAACCAACAAAACACAGCTCATGATCAGCAACTGAGAACCACATGCTTTCTGAAGAATAATTACATAGGTAATCAATAAATACCGTAACTAAATATCACTGGGTCAGAAACCAAATCAGCCTAAGACAGCTCACACCTAATACTGCCCATGGGAAGATTGTGCTCAGCGAATATTTAATGGAAAAAGCATTAAGGTTTTTAATTATATTGCTAACTAACCACTTCCATCTCTCCCCCAAAATGCAAAGGCTTTACATAGCGACTCGCGCAACTGTTTGCCTGAGTTATTCTATAGCGACCTGCCAGCACTTTTCCATCTTCTCTCTACCTTTGGATCCAGTGGTCCTTGTACGCGGAACTGAAGGAGATTCCCTTGAAGAGCTCGGACCTATCAAAATCCACTTGGAACTGATCCCAGAAGGGACCAAAGGGATTTCCATCCTGCAAAGGAAAGACGAGCGTTCATTCAGCGCACAGGCAGAGCCTGAAAGGCAGGCCTGGCGAGACCCCGGGGCGCCAAGTTGAAGAGTTTTTCTGTGACAGGCAGAATCAGAGCGAATACAACAGCCTGTCTGTCACCCATCAGCTCCGCAGGAAGGAGAGAGTGAAACGCATCGAAGAGTTGACCGAGAACTAATGCAAAGGCTGTCTAAAAAGCAGGAGAACACCACGGCTCTCAAACTCGTCTTTAAAATAGGTGGCTTTAAAACCAGCTGGACAACTGTACCGCGGAGACCAGCGGGAGGTAAGCTTTGTTGTTACAGATCTCCCTACAGCCACGATCAGGTCTGAACCGGTAAAACCTACTGACACAAAGGACCTCCCTGAACCCCAAGCACTTGCTGACAAAGAAAAGCAGGAAGGCGCAGCAAGCCACAGAGGTAAGCGGTGAAAGGAATGCCACACGGAGGGATGTGGGGTGGATAACTCCTAAATTTGCAAATCACCAGTGACCCGAACGAGGCAGTCGTTCCCTTTGGAGCTCACCTTCATGGGACAAGTGCTCTTGTCGGCACTTCTCTGAGCCGCCGCCTCGAAGCAGTAAGCCACTCGCTTGCCAGGAGGCCAGTGAAGGGGCGCCAGCTTCTCCATGAAGTCCTCCATGCTGATAACACGGTGGTAGCGCAGCAGCGGCTCCAGCCTGAAGTGCTCCGCGTAGGGAACGTGCAGCTGGGGACGACAGGGCTGGCCTCACTCCCGGGGCAGCGGCACACAGAGCCCCCGGGGCCCTCGCCTCACCCCCGGGGAGATGCCGCGGCCCAGCCCGCCGCCCCCTCCCCGCTCCCCGCCCCCCCCCGCGGGCTCACGG